CCAGGTGCACATCAGCTCTGTTAAATTTTGGAGAGTGAGCTCTCCTAAAGTGAGGAAGTAAAAACTGACTTCAGTTACAGGTGGCAGGTGAAAATGTTTGCTACTAGCTGTCAGCTAGAAAACTGTATTGTTATTAATGTTTTTGTTTTAAACTTCTGGAGTTCCCCTCCTAAGAATTTTGGGGGCTGTGACCTCAAAGTTGACGAACAGTGCTCTAGTTGAAACAACTGAATGAAGTAGCAGCTTTGCAGCCTCTGCTTACATAAAATTTCAGATCAGATGACTTTATGGACAAAACACAACGTAAAATAAACTTCAGGCAATTTCTGAGTTTTCTTCTTCTAGAAACTTGCCTTGGGAAGGAGTCTCTTAGTTACCAAAGTTCAGGCTGTCTAACCTAAATTTAAACTACAAGTATGTGTAGTAATAACAGACCATTGGCTTATTTGCATAGAATTTGAGCAGTTCTGAATCTCAGACCTTAGTTACAGGTCCTGTGCTGTGGTAGGGATATTGTGGCACCAGATAAATGAATTTACCAGGTTACCTTGAAAGATTTACCAATCATGTAGATGTATGCAGAAAAAGAAGTATTTGTGGTATGTAAGGCTTGCAGTGCCTAGAACATGGTTAAAAGTTGTTTAAAGGTAGTTCTGTTACTGCTGAATACGTGCACACATGAACTGAATGAACAAAGATTTCCATTCTTCTGATTTCTTTAAAAACACAGTACACATTTTATAACTCTATCCTTGTACAGATGTTGGGGACCAAATAAGAGAAGAAACAAAATTTTGTATTTCTCTGGTACTTTACACTCTAGTGAAGTGTGAGCTTAGCCTGCTTTTTATCATCAGATCAAGGGGAAAGCTCCTGTAAATGTGTATGGGTGCTGAGGGCTATTGTCCCCATCCTGCCCCTGTTACTCTTCATTCTTGGAGTCTCACTCCTGTCTTGTGTTTCTGAATATACAGTGGAAAAAGTTTTTATTATAGGTGTTTCGGTAGCTGTCCAAATGCATCTCAGAGCACACAGAGACAGATGCCGTGCACTACAAAATGGCTACTGTGTTGGCTGAAGTTAGATACCAACTGCTATATGTATGTCTGTACACACCCTTATTGTGATTGTTGGTGAGGGCTCTCTGAAGCACCTGGTTTTGGGTGTATGCCTAAATAGTAACTACTTCAGAGGTGAAATAAGTCAGCTTGCATCAAGCACCGAAGCATTTTGATGTATGTAGCATTGGAGTGACTGAGAGTATGTTTCTGTTCCTCTATACAGCTACTGCAAAGGAAGAATGAGATGAAAGGAATTTACTGAGCACTGTTGATAGCAGTCCCAGTATTTCAGCAAAATAACTCCTTTTGCTATTGAAGTCTGCAATTTCTGAGCAGCTTTAAACACCTTCTTCCGAGTGTAACTTTGAAATTGAGCAGAGCAAAAAAGCCTTAGGCTAAAAATGTTCTGCCCCCTTGTTATGTGAAATTCTATTAAAGTTTTGCTGAGAAGTACTACTACTTTCAGGAATCAGTTTTCCATTTTTTCCTCAGGAAAAGTTTGGCTGTGTGCTAAAGTAATTGAATGCAAATATGATGGAGTTGGGCATATGTTGATGTCAAAGCTGTATGGGAAACAGGCACTGTACAGGGAGTGTGTGGATGGATAGTGTTGTAATAAAGGGCAGAGGGAAGAAATTGTAGTCTTGTCCATTTTACAGTTGAATGTACTAGAATATTTCCTTTAAAAAAGCAAGCTTAGAAGCTGTATAGCTTTAATGTTAAATTTAAATGTTAAAGCTTTTAGGTTAGCAAACTTTCTATTTATATCTTCTAGGAGCTTGGTCATGTGTATGTTAAGGTAGTGGCGGGGGGAGTATATGTGTTGGGTTTTTTTCCCTTAAATTCTGTCGTTGTTCTGTGCTTGGAGTGGAGAGGTGAAGGTGTGATGGGTGGTGTAGCTAAGCAGATCAGGTGGCTTGCTGTGCCATTGATGAGGGGTGGGTTCTGCTACTCATTGCCTGCTGTTGGTGTTTCCATGCTCTAGTTCCTGTCTGACAATGCTGTGAACCAATTATCTAATCTAGATAATCTAGAATCTAGAAGCAAAGCGAACAGCTTTCTGCTGAGCCATTAAGTCAGTTTAGCTGAGCAATCAAGTGAGCATCAGTCAGTACCAGACTGGTGTGTAGGACTGTGTTGCCAGGAGCAGTAACAGAGAATGGGCAGCTGGACCCATCTGTGGCAGAGAGATTGCTCAGCTATATTTTATATCCACATTTGCAGTATATTGTGAATTTGACACTTTTGCACAGATACAGATTCATATACATCTTTTATGGAAGTCCTTTACATCTCAACTAGTAACGATGGAATGTAATTTCACAACTGGATGTTCAGTAAGGATGTATAGATGCTCTTTTTCAGTTGTCTAAAGATTTTCTTTGGTGATTATAGAGAAGCTAAAGTGTAAGAAAGCCATATGACTCTTGCCAAAGCAAATAGCTTCCTGTTTTAAACTTAGAAGTTGTATTTTGTTGCCAGTCATATTAGTGCTGATTGTACCCCTCTCGATATAAATTTCCATCCTTTCCCTGCCATGCTTCAAGTCTCAGATCTGAGTGATTAGTCCCAGCAAAGTCTGAGCTCCATTTGAGAACAAGTGAAGTGAGTTCACAAGTAATCCTTACTTCCCCCACCTCACCTTGTTGCAGCATTCAGTGCTCAATTTTTCCTGTATTCAAACTAATACAGTATCTGGAAATGTTTAACTTTGTTATGAAAGCTGTCAGTATAAGAGTAAATCTTCATGTTTAGAGTGAAACAATTTTAAAATGATAAGTTAAAACATTTTTTTTAAGAGCTTGAAATACTTCTCGACTCTTGTATGCTCTCTAGTTGTGTATTCCTGCTGTCAGGTGGAAGGAAAAAATAGTCTTATTTTGTAGTCCATATTTTGAGTTTTGAATTGAGATTCCTAAGCCTGTGATATGGCACTTCCCACTGTCAAACAATTTCTTTGTTTTTATTTCCTCTCAAATGGAGCTGGTGGTGCCACATCACCCAGAATGTGAGCTGTAGGTGATTTTTGTCTGGTCATTATATTTAATTCAAGTACCCTGGCACCGTCACTGAACTATTTTCAGGACTACCCTAAGGTTGAGGTAGTTGGTTTTATACATGCTGCTCTTTCTGGTCTTTCTATGCCTGCTAGATTTAAAGACTCCTGTGATGGAAGGAGGATGCCAACAAAGAAGTGGTGAATATCTACCAGATGAAGCAGTTTTATTGCAGAGGCCTACACTGGTCTCACATTTAATTTAGCCTAATGAAAGGACCGATTTTCATGAGGATACTGTTCTTTTTGGCAGTTGGTTATGTAAAAATGAGGTTGTGCTCATTGAATATGCTATGTTAAATCTGATTTGGAGTGAGGAGAGTCTTTGTAACTCTTAGTTGTTTGGATTAGGTTAAGGAACCCTAGAGCCCACTTCCTTGTTTGGGTAAGTAAGAAATGAATGACTTCAGGGCAGTTCTTCCCACTACAATGTGAGAAAATAAAAGCTAGAGAGCTAACTAGCTCTGTTCCTTCTCCTCAGAAATTCCAAAGGTAGCTGCTTGGAGCCTTGGGAGGCTCAGAGGGAATTGTTGTAATTGTTTGTTCTCCTTTCCAGTATCTCTGCACCTTCCATATCTAAACCTCTTGTCAGCAAGAATGTGTGATTCTGTGCACGAACAATTGTGATCTTTAGTGTTCTTGGGGTTTTTTTTACTTTATGTTTTAAGGACTCTTGTGAATTACTTGCAAGCAGAAAGTAGCCTACAAAAGCATACTAATAGAGACTGGGTAACTCTTGTGAATTTAAGATTACTTAGAAATCATGTATTTCATTGCAGGTCTAACCTCCTGAACCTGCTGATCTTGTTGTGAATATAATTTTGTGCTGTGACATGGGCAGTAGTTTGATTTGTCATGAAATGATTTCAACTGCTAGACTTTAGGGTAATGTAGTGACAGAAGTTTTGTTTTGTTTTTCTTTTGCTACCTCTTTAGTTATTTGCAAAAATACCCTGAAAAGCACTTGAAGAAAAACACTTAAAAACAAGGCAGAATGTTTACCTGGGGAATCAGTTGAATGCCTTATCGTGAAGTGATAATGCCAGACTTCTTGGCTTTAGGCCATGGTAGTTTATTTTTGGTTCAGCTTCCATATTATATAAACTTGAAGCTAGTTTCTGTTCTATGAGGTTTTGGTTTTTGGTGGTTGGTTTGGGGGTCTTGTGTGTGTTTGGTCATTGGGGATACCCTGAAAAGCACTTGAAGAAAAACACTTAAAAACAAGGCAGAATGTTTACCTGGGGAATCAGTTGAATGCCTTATCGTGAAGTGATAATGCCAGACTTCTTGGCTTTAGGCCATGGTAGTTTATTTTTGGTTCAGCTTCCATATTATATAAACTTGAAGCTAGTTTCTGTTCTATGAGGTTTTGGTTTTTGGTGGTTGGTTTGGGGGTCTTGTGTGTGTTTGGTCATTGGGGTTTTTTGTTTTTTTCCTTTTTTTTTTTTTTTTTTTTTTTTTTTTTCTAAGTATGGGATCAGTTTTTAGATATGTCTGTATGTATTTCAGCAAAGTTTATTTGATTCTGGAAGAATGACAGTGTAAAGCCATCTGATAAGGTATGTTCTGGCAGTGGCATCTTGTGAACAGCTTGCTCTTATTTGGCAGCATTTGTTGACAGCTGTCATATCATGTCTCAGCTTTCTAAAATAGTAATTGCTGATGACCAGTTAAAAGGTATGATTAAGGATTGTGACCTGTCATGAGAGCAGCTTTGGAAAACTTGGGGCTTTTGTGATTTCTTTCCTGCCCCCCCACTTATTTGTCAGTCATGTGAACATGGCAGATGTGCTCTACTACTCATTTGGTAGCTTTGAATCCTGATCTTTAAATACATATATTGTCTACAAAGATACTTAAGGTATCTTTTTTCCTCTCAACAGGTGGGAAGGAGAAACCAAAAACCAATGCAGAAGAGCTACAGATTAAAAAAGTTAAGAAGAAAAAGAAAAAGAAACATAAAGAGAACGAGAAGAGGAAGCGTCCAAAAATGTACAGCAAATGCATTCAGACCATCTGCTCAGGATTGGATTTTGAGGATCAGGAAGCCAAAGGCATCATAGATGATCATCTTAAGGATTTCTGTGGGAAAAATATGGATCCCAAGAAGGACTGTGAGTCCAAGATACCAGAGAACAGTGAGTTTCCATTTGTCTCGTTAAAGGAGCCACGGGTTCAAAATAAACTCAAAAGGTTGGACACATTGGAGTTCAAACAGCTGATTCATATTGAGCACCAGCCTAACGGAGGTGCATCAGTTATCCATGCCTACAGTAATGAACTCTCCCACTTATCTCCTGTGGAGATGGAGAGATTTGCAGAAGAGTTTGTGGGTCTGGTTTTTAGTGAAAATGAAAACTGTGCAGCTTACTATGTTATGGGTATTGTTCATGGGGCAGCTACTTATTTACCTGACTTTTTAGACTACTTTTCATTTAATTTTCCCAATTCACCAGTGAAAATGGAGATTTTGGGAAAGAAAGATATAGAGACAACGACTATGTCAAATTTTCATGCTCAGGTAAGAGGTTACACATTTTACTTTCTAAAGTCATGTAACAGTAGTCATATAATGATTTCAAACAACTGTGAGTGGGTTTTTTAAGAGTACAATTATTAGCTGTGCTGTGTGGGTGTTGCTGAAGACTTAGAAACAAGGGAAGTCTTAATAAGTTCTGCAATATTAAAAATAAGGAGCCTATTAATTGAGTTATAAAGTTGGTTTTAATGGGGGAGGGGAAGTGTTCGCATGCATGTGTAGTTAGGTTTCTTTCGATTTATTTCTTTAGCTGAAGCTTAACCCTGAGTTTTGGAGGGTTAAAATGATTTAACTGTGGCTCTCTGAGCATCTGAACTGTAGTCTGTCTGTATGAATTTCTTCACAGAACTGAAATGCTTCAGTACATTACAGCAATGTTATACATAAAACCTGTGTAGGGTACAGTTAATTAGCTCTCTAGTCTGGGGCTTCTAAATCCATTCATAAAGGAGAGTTTATTGGTGCTTAAGGTAGCTGCTAATTTGATCTTTTCCCCTTCACATTTTACCCCAGTTGTGTTAGTCAGAAAGCGGAGAGCTTTGATATTTTATTTATTTTTGTTTTCTGAAGGTAAATGCCTGTATTCTCTTTTAAGAACTGCTACTGATTAAACATCACCTCTGTTATTTATTAACTTCAGGTAGAAAATACATCACTGTTGCATATAAATTATTTATATTTCAGGTCGTAAGTTGAGGGGAAAAAACCTCTGACTTTCTTAAATTACAAAATAACCTCATCACTAAGGTGGCAAAGCCCATACAGATATTGTGAAATTATTTATGAAGAAACTCAGTGCTGTTTTTCGTTATATCAACTTTAGCTCATAACTAACTCCCCATTTGTGAATTTAGATGTTGTACAAAACACCTTTTTTAGTAATTACTTTATAAACAATTACGAAGCATTGAAGAGTAAGTTACGCTGTTGTCTTTTTGATGAAAAACATGCTTTACTTTTCTTTGGCTATGTAAACATTTGCATGGGATATTACTGCATTTTTAGACAAATTTCAGGGGTCTGTTATTGACAAGGATAAACAGACCTGAAATGTTGCCTCAAATATTTGCAGTGCTGGTTAAGAAAACATCCACTGCCATGGAATATGAATAGTCTATGAAATACATTCATAATTTTCTTCAGTTGGTAAACTGAATAATAAAATTGTTTGTGTTTAAGGGACCTTAAAGACCATCTAGTTCCAAGCTCACTACATGGATAGGGACACATCCCACTAGACTTAATCATAACTTCAGTAATAAAAGTCACAAAATGTATTATGAACAGCTACCTAGAGCTGCTCTGTCTTAGGTAATTTTATATTGAAGCTGAATCTGCCCTTCTAAGTATGTTTTTTAAGTTCAAATGTTATCTTTGGCAGCATTAATGTAAGTCGGCTACTACTATCTACCCTAAAGCAATGTTTAAGAAAAGGCATAATTTTATTTTTGTGGATGATAAAGACTTTTTTTTACTGGAAGAGTGGAGTAACTTCATTTTACAATGCTATCAATTTCTGTCATTAAATCCATCCTCTGATCATTGATTTTGAGTTACTGTTGTGGTTTGGGCCTAACACAATAACAAAGAGCCAGCCCCCTGCCTGCTTACTCAGCTCCTCCTCCTCACCCTGAACACACTGGGATGAGGAGGACAAAGGCCAACTAGAAGCTCATGGGTCAAGACAAAGGGCAATGAGGGTTTTTCACTGTCTAAGGTCATGGTCAAAACATATTCAACTTGAGGAAGAATAATAATTAACACTAATCCAGTGCCCACAGGACACAGACAACACAAAAAGCAGGGCTTACATATGTTCCCCATCGCTCCCTTCTTCCTGGGCCCAAACCACTTTGTTCCCAGTTTCTCTCCCTCCTTCCCCCCAGCGGCACAGGGTGATGGGGTGTAGAGTCAGTTCACAGGCTGGTGGTTCTTGCTGCTCCTTCCTCCTCGGGAAGAGGGATTCCTTACAGTTCTCCCCTGCTTCCCCATGGGGCCCCTCCCATGGGAAAGAGCCTTCCACAAACCTCTCCTTCATGAGTCCTTCCCATGAGGTCAGGAGCAAGCCGCTCCAGTGTGGGTTTCCTACAGAGTCATGGGCTTCTTTAGGAATAGTTACCTTCACTGTCACTGGTGTCCATTGACAACAAATCCAGGTCCACTGGCAGCAAAATCCAAGCTCACCCTTCCTGTTGCCTTCAGGGAATGTTCTACCACATTCCTCCATGAATGCAGGGGGACAGCCTGCCATCTTGCCATAGGTTGCAGGCAAACTTCTGCTTGGGCACCTTCTTCTCCCTTCTTCCTCACCACCCTCTTCACCCTGGCACTGCCTTTCACCTCTCCAGCACAGCTGTTCTACCCCTGCTTGCTCATCTCAGGTCATACATCAGTTTGGTTGTATGTTAATCGCAGAGGTGCCTCTATTGTCTCTCTTTAGTGGCTCCTTGGCTCACTGGTTTTGGAGCTGGGGGAGCTCTCCAGCTTTTCAAAGGAGCTGCCCATGGGCCCCCCTTCCCCACGACAAATAAACTAGCCAAACCAAACCAGCACAGATAATAATTTCCTATTTTTCTATAAATGAAAGAGCGGTAGTGAAAGAAAATAATAGCTGGAAGAGCCAAACCGTATTTATTATTCTAACGTTCAAATGGTCAACTTTCATAGTCTGTCTTCTAATCCACATTTTACTTGGCTAGAGGTTTAGTTCTGGTATCTTCTTTTACTTTGTTTACTCTGTTTTTCAGTTAATTTTTGTAGCATTTTATCACTGGTTTTCTGTCAAGTAACCAAACTCTGATGCTTGGTTCCTTTGGTTTTTTGCTAACATAAAGGGTATAGTGTTTATAAATAATGTATACATGCCTACACCAGATTTACTTGTATTGTTATCTGTGCAAAGTTGCTATTCTCTGGAGTACTGAAGTTAGTATCTTGTCTTCTGAGCCATTGACTCAACAGTGTGAGGTTCAACAAGACCAAGTGCTGGGTTCTGCCCTTTGGTTACAATAACTCCAAGCATCGCTACAGGGGTGGTGGAAGAGTGGCTGGAAAGCTGCCTGGTGGAAAAGGATCTGGGAGTACTGGTGGACAGCTGGCTGAACATGAGCCAGCAGTGTGCCCAGGTGGCCAAGATGGCCAACGACATCCTGGCCTGTATCAAAAGCAGTGTGTCCAGCAGGGGCGGGGAAGTGATCATACCCCTGTACTTGGCCCTGGTGAGGCCACAGCTTGAGTACTGTGTTCAATTTTAGGTGCTACAGTATAAGAAAGACACTGAGGTCCTGGAGCCTGTCTGGAAAAGAGAAAGGTGGCTGGTGAGGTGTTTGGAGAGCATGTGGTACGAGGAAGGGCTGAGGGAACTCAGGTTGTTTAGTCTGAAGAAGTGAAAGTTCAGGGGAGATCTTACTGCTTTCTACAACTACCTGAAGGAAGGTTGTAGAGAGAGGCCAGTGTTGGTGTATTCTCCTAAATAACTAGTGATAGGACAAGAGGAAATGGGTTTAAGTTATGCCAGGGAAGGTTTAGGTTGAATATTAGGAAAAAATTCTCTACTGAAAGAGGGGTGAGGCATTGGAATGGGCTGCCCAGGGCCGTGTTAGAGTTGCCATCCCTGGAGATGTTCAAGAAGCATTTGGATGTGAACACTTCAGGATATAATTTAGTGGTTGTGGTAGTTGAATTATGGTTGGACTCAATGATCTTGAAGGTCTCTTCCAACCTTAATGATTCTATTATTGTTTTCTCTTTTTATTGCATTTTATCTTACTCTGTATGCTTATTTTTATCTTAAGTGATCTGCTACATTTGAAAGCTTTTGTTCACTTAGTATTCTCCTTTCTGACTGGGTCCAGTATCCAAGGTGTCTAGGAAGGAGGATGAGAGTCTCATACTCATAGTGATGCTGTCAGAGTGCTCATCCATCCTCTGGGGATATAACAAGACCTTTTTGAATCTGAGAGTTGTGAATTCTGTGGTTTTAACCTTTAGCTGTGGTTTTTTTCATGTGCATGTGTAATTTTCCGATTCATTAGTGTTGGTTACCTCTTTCTTTTTTTTTTCTGCCTACCTTTATAAAAGATAATAAATGATTACATAACTTGTTATGTTTTGTACAGATAGATAATACTATTTTGTCCAGTTCTTTGTGAATCTTAAAAGGATTCTTTGTGCTGTTGCAGTATATTTCAGTGAAATGCTAAATGTAGTTTCCTGTTCCTACGTTGCAATAGTTCTGTGCTACTGTGTTCCCTGTTGTCCTGAGCTGCCTGACCAGTGTCTAGCAGTTGTGGTATAGCCTCAGCTGAGAGGTGAGTCCTTTTCTGGTGCATAAGTAGGAACTTAGATTTATCAAGTCTGCTTTGAGTATCTCAGCCTTCTTTAGCCTTAAAAAACTTGGGTATCTTTTGCTAATTTTAACTAAAATGCTAAAGTGAGGGTTACTTTAGTACATGAGGTTCTTTGGTTGTTTTCGAGAACTCATTTTATAACACATGCTATCAGTCTGACAAACAAGTATTTAAAAATACCTAAAAAAGTATGAAGAAATGATCTCTGGGTTCTGTCATATCTGTAGGTGGCAAGAGCTGCATCAGTTATCTGTTAACTATCAATCTTATTTGTCAGGCTCTTAGGAATATTTTGAAGAATGTGAAATATCAGCTTTTGCCACCTACTTGTAGCTTACATCACTTCAGTTAAGGTATTTAGTGCTGAATTTTTAATACCTTGCTGAACCCCTGAAGTACACAATTAATGTTTAATCATAACAATGATTAGTGGATTGATTTTTACTGTGCTTCAGTCTTGTCCCAGAGGCAGCTTCTTAGTACAGGTGAAGTAAAATGCTGAGAGATAGCTAATGATTGCTGTGCTTCAAGACAGGATTTGACTAATTTCTAAGCTATGTATGACAAATTGTGGTTGTCTGATGTGTTTGCTGGAAATCTCTTAGTGATTCCACACTTCCCAAATAGATCTGT